TCCTCATTATGTACTCTAGAATTTTCAACTGTCTTTTTCCTAATACTACATATTAAATATCCTTTTTGTTTCCATTTTCTCTGAAACTTTGGCATAACTCACATGTTTAGTCCATGACATTCTCAGCATCCATCTGTAGAATCACATTTCTGTTGCCTCAAGTATCTTCTTTATCTGTGAGGAGAGGGTCCATTATTCACTGTCATATAGGAGGACTGATATTATAACTGTTCAGTTCTCTTTTCTTTGTTTCTAATAAAATTTTCCTATTTTCTAATACTTTGCTTAACTTTTGGAAGGCATCTACCACTATTTCAATGTATCTTCAGATTTTGTTGTTGCATTTTCCATCCTCTCTTAAAACACTTCCCAGATCTTTAAATATTTGCACTTAATGTTGGCATCTCAAATTTGTAATTCATACTGGACAGTTGCTTTTGCTAACAACTGTACATTGTATCTTCTTTCAACTGATGTTTAGTCCTTCCTTCTTGCTTTCCTTTACTACTGTCTGTAGGAGTTCCTGTAGTTTTCTTTCTATATTTACTATCTTTATATCATATGTTAAGATTGTAGTTGCCAATAATGAATCCTGGTAGGACGTCTAATTCTCTTAGGATTGCTTCACTGTAATGTTTGAATAAGTCCGGCGAGAAGACACATACTTGTTTTACACTCTTTTCTATTTTTTCATATTTACTGAATCCATTTTCTATTGATATGCAGACAGTTTGCTCCTACAACAGGTTCTGGATTATTCTAATATCTTTCCAAAATAAATTGAGCTTACCTGGTAGTTCAAGTAGTTTTTTATGATGCACCTTGTCAAATGCATTTGCATAATCTATAAAACATAGGTATATATCCTTTTGCATTTGCATTGCTCAGAAAGATATCAGAAAGAGAAACTTAGAAGTTACTATTTCACTTATGCATATCTGTGAGACAAAGTATCTATCATTACCTGTGCATTTAAGGACTTTAGAGTCTGATATTATATTTACTAAATTTTGTTTAGTATAACCTAGAATTGGGGTTGATAGGTAGGAAGAAGGAAAATTGGGCTGCATCAGTTTTCCAAATTAACAAGGACACATGGCACAGTAGATAAAGACATTAGTTAGATCCAGTGACAGGACCCAAAGAGTGTGAGTTCAATACCTGGTTAAGGTGGTGGAGAACTTTGAGAGGGAAATTAACAGGAGATAACTGACATCCATTAGACATGGCATGTGGAACTAGAACATTCTATCCCAGTGAGTGAAATAAAGGGTTCAGTTTGACATTCCAACCACCTGAAGAAGGTCGGAGCGTACAACGGCCAAAATATTGTGATAAACATGGCGACAAAGATGAGGACAATAGTTTGAATAATGTAAATAGTTAACAGAGTTTGTCTTCAAAATCTTTTGATTTTACCTAGGTTTAAACCTTGATCATGGTACTGATGGTTAATATGCAACTATTTCAACTACCAAGCAGGCCTTTGTGCATTTGATATGAACTAGAAATAGTCCTAGTTATGGCAAAAATAAAAAACATAAAAGAGTTGCATGCAACTTTGGTTGTTAGTTATTTTACATATTGATGTCCTTGTATTACAAGTAATCATAAATGGCTCATCTCTCTCTTTTTCTCTCTCTTTGGTGATGAATGAAAATATTAAAGAAGAAAAAAAAAATGAAAGGATATCATTCAGTATTAGTTAAGAAGAGAATAATGATAAGAAAAATGAATGAGAATCAACAATGAAAAATCAATCAGCAAAATCTATCAAAAGGGACAAAGTGTCCACACAAAAACAGCTGCAAACTACTCCATTCCAAAAAGTAAAATCACTTTTTTGGTTTAGAAAAGGAAACTAAACTAGAACTCATGGAGGTGTGAGTGTCTGTAAGTGACCTTTACATATTAAAGTCTGGTCTGGAATTCTGTTACTGACAAAATTTTAAAGTGTGCGTGTGTGTGTGTGTGTTCAAAGTGGAAATCTTGACAATCATCTCCCGTTATAGATCTATCTTCATAAAAGTCTGGAATTTATTTATTAGCAATAATTAAAATGATGTTTGTATGAGCATCTATGTAAAAGGGCATCAAGGAAAACATATTTTATTTTCAGCTAACCTGGTGTATATTTATGAGGATTCTGTAATTTAAAAATTCTAAAAACTAACAGCAGTTTTGGTTCTGTGTATAAATACTTAAATTTGCCTTGATAAAGTCTATCAGAGGATGAAATGCATTGCCTAAGATAATTTTTTTGTCCCTTACCTCTTTCTCTCTCATATATATATATATATATATATATATATATATATATAATACAACATAGAATATTAGAGTTATGAGGTAACTTTTTTGTTCATTTTTTTCTTCTTAAATTTCTTAATAAAGTATCTATTCTCAAAATATTTTAACACCTTGCCATAACTTTAAGGAACACTTGTATTTTAGATAAAGATGCTTTTCCCAGTAAGAGACAAACAGACAATGCAGATATTTATGCCAGTGATGTTTTTTTTTTTTTTGTTTGTTTTTGTTTAATCCAATCTGATCATGAAAAGTCAACTTAAGATATTTCATTTTCCACTAATAAGAGACTGAACCTAATGGTCACTGTTCACTGTTCACCACAAAGAGTTCAGTTAACTATGAGAAAATGAAGTAGGGTCGGGGTCTTTTCAAACTGTACAGCTTCAGTTTCAAGAGTGAAAGGATGATAGGGAGTGGCCAAATTGTACAAACCATGGAGTTACATACAGAATTGTTTTCTGTATTCAATACTTTATCCAAATATTCTTCATACTCATCTAGAGTACTCAAGGCTTTGCCTGAGTTGGGATCAAAGTCCTGCAAAAACATGGCAGTGAATGTTTAGATACTGATTTATAAGAAGAAGGTAAAACCAAAAAGAAGGAGATAAAATGAAAGAGAAATATTAATATTTTGATCTGAGTTTTGAAAAATGAAAAACAAAGAAAATTCATGATATATGGAATAATAAAAATAATAAAATATTAGCATAAAAGGAGCATGTCTGTGGTGAAGTAAGTAGAAAAGATATTGGAACATTTTTTTATCTATACTTACCTGAAATAATGAATAATGTAAAAGACTGGGGTTAACAATAATAAGAAAATCTTTGACTGATGTGAATAAACTTTACCTTTCTGTACTATTTTGATGTTGCTAATTCTCTTTACATTGTCTTCTTTTTCAAGGCCACTCAATTACTAGTAGCCCTGTTGCCAATTTCAGTCAAGGTTTCTGTTTTCATAGAAGGATATGACATTTACTAAATTCATGCACCTACAGTGCCAGGATAAACATTTTGCTTGGTGAATGAAGTTGCCTATTAGTTGTGAAAAATGTCCGAAATCTAAACATGCAAAACTGATATTTCCTAATGACTTGATAAAATCTGAGTTGATGATTTTATCTGAGGCACTAATTTACCAAAATTGGTAAAATTTAGAATTTACCATCAGTGGAGAGAAAAAAAAGTTATAATACTTCCTTCATTTGACAGCATAAAAGATATCCCCCCCCTCAACAGACTCCCCAGCCTCCCTGCTTACTATATGAAACCTTTTTAAGATAACATTTTCTATTATAAGTAACCAATATTTAGTTAATACTGGTATTTGGTATGCTTAGTTTAGTCAAACATAAGGCTAAATTTGGGAAATGCAAGATTATGTTGAGTCAGCCTCCAAGGTGGAGAAAAGCCTGTTTGCTTAGAAAATCAGAATTCCAAATACTAGTTTATATCTGAGCTTGAACACTGACCACTCGTACATGACTAAAGCCTCTCCACCTGACTATTATTGTAAATGGCTATTATTTCTTTAATATCAAAGAAATAATCTTTTTATACTCAGTTTCCTATGTTATCAAATATAATTGGAAAAAAAATGCTTTCAATTTCATAAAATTACATAACATTTGGTATTTAATTTTTGCAGTGTTTTTCTTAAATTATAAAAATTAAATTTTAACCCAGGTTGTCTTAAATTTTCTGTCAAAATTCTATATTTTTGTATCACTCAAGTACAGCAGATGAGACAAACCATAATTATTTGTTTCAATACAATTACTTTATGTAAAGATATGATCTTTCCTTAAGCCAATATTTAAGATTTTCTATAACAGATGGGCCAACATTTCTAGAATATTCCTTGCAGAAATGAAGGGTACATAACTCTCTTTCTTTATTTTGGTCCATGCATCCTATAGGTTTTCATATAAGTTAAATTCTTCCCATTGCAAAAATTGCCTTGGATACATGCAAAAATATTCTTTTAGCAAAAAAACTAATTTAAACAGTATATTATTTTCAAATAAAATACCATATTTTGCTGTTTATAAGACCCTATAAAATATTTCCCTATAAAATATTTCCCTATAAAATATTTTCCTATAAAATATTTCCAAAAACCACCCTTTCATCTATGTTGATCAGTGTTGGCAAAGATGTTTCATTTTTGAGATTAAATGATATTAAGAAGAAAAAGAAATTTTTAAACCATTCTTCACCTTAATCCAGATGAACCCACACTGGTGTTTAATCATGCTTGAACTCCTATCCATAATACTGACATCTATTTCAATTTTCATTTTTTTAATGTATATTTTATGTATATGTATTTTGTTGTATATGAAAATTATTTTGATATTTCAGGAAATGTGGCCTCAAGGAACCTTAATGCACATCTATGAAGAAACACTCTATCAAGGAGTTACTCGTTCAATAATGAGATGCCATATGTTCGTTCCCATTCTTCTTACTTTATACAAGAATTTTAGAAAATTTATTAATTGAAAAAATTAAATATAAATATCTGTGAATAAAATAAATATCATACAGTCAGGTATGTGTAACTATTTTTCATTATTTGCTACCATATTTCGAAGCACCAGTCTTCTATAATTTTGTGAAGACAGGTTGAGGTGGACCATAATTAGTAACAGAGATAATTTAGTAAAAAGTTTTTACTTACAGTATTGGAACCCCGTGCAAGTTTACTTTCAGTTGATCCTTCAGTTATATTGTCAACAGTATGATCGGGTTCATTAACTGTCGGAGTTGTTAAATCTGTCTCTGGATCAACACCTAATTCTGAAAAAGTAATAAAATTTCCATAAATTACTTATCAAATAAAAATGTTTCTTTTAATTTATTTTAGCTGGAAGTTTATCAAATAAAATCCCCAAGCATCTAAAAGTGAGAGCATATTTACATAAAACGAAAATTGTAAACTGTTTGAAGACATTAGGTATCAACAGCAAAACATTGGTTATAGCACTATAATTTCATTATACTGTTTGAAGAAATTAGGTATCAACAGAAAAACCTTTTGCAAAACATTGGTTATGGCACTATAATTTCATTAATGATTCTAATAAGGAACTAACAAAAGACTCATTTCTTGATAACAATCAACAAATCCCTCCTTTAATGTCCCCTGTTCTAAATTAATGCTATTAATATGAAACTTTAACATTCAATATTGTGATTGTCTTAGACTCTGGAGTTGAGATGGAAAAGAAAGAAAAAATTAGTAAAAAGATTCTCTGCAGCCTGGTTGTAAGATTTACTCGAATGAGGCTAAAGAATAAATTAAACAAATGTATTAAAAACAACAAAGATGAAGATCACTGTCAAAATATGGAATATTAGAAAGCATAAATTTATATTAAAGAGAAAACTGATGAAGTTAATTTTTTAAAAAATAGGATAAAATATCCATCATTACAAGGGATGATGAAGTTATGAAATGGAGAATTTGGGGATAAAAAAATGGAAAGACTTCATTTCTAAACCTAATATTCTATCTTTCATATAGCATATTTATATGTTATTTCATACATTTTATGTTATTTCATATGTATTATATGCTATTTCATATGTATTATGCTATTTCATACATATCATATGTTATTTCATATGTATTATATGTTTATTTCATACATATATGTTATTTCATATGTGTATTATATGCTATTTCATACATATTATGTTATTTCATATGTATATGTTATTTCATACATATCATATGTTATTTCATATGTATTATATGTTTATTTCATACATATATGCTATTTCATATGTATTATATGCTATTTCATATGTATTATGCTATTTCATATGTATTATGCTATTTCATACATATCATATGTTATTTCATATGTATTATATGTTTATTTCATACATATATGCTATTTCATATGTATTATGCTATTTCATATGTATTATGCTATTTCATACATATTATATGCTATTTCATACATATTATGTTATTTCATATGTATATGTTATTTCATACATATCATATGTTATTTCATATGTATTATATGTTTATTTCATATATATTATGTTATTTCATATGTATTATATGTTTATTTCATACGTACTATATGTTATTTCATACATATTATATTTCACATTAAATCTTTTCATGAAAATCTACATTTTGATTAATTGATTATTTCCTAACAGGTTTGTAATGAAAATATTCCAACATTATAAAACTTTCTAGTATTATACACTAGAAAACTTTCAAGTGCCAAAAAAAAAAAACAAAAAAAACCCCAACTATTTAAGCATTTATCTTGAATGTAAAACTAAAACAGAATTGGCCTGCACTTTTTTTTACAGATGACATGCCCCACAAATTACTGCTATTATAATAGAATTACTGTTTTATTCACACTTTATTATTTGTTTATGTTTCAATTAATATATTTTATTTAAAGGACATGACAGCTGTCTCATGAGTCAGAAATTTTGAGCCGTTACTGAGTTATTTAACCCTATCACTTGAGTGGGCTATGACATGATAATCTGATTAAACAGGTGATCAACTACCAAAGGCAGATTAGAGGATTTGAATTTTGATGGTATAACCAGTTATTATGCTCTCTTTTTTAATTAGAATATGCTCCACTTGATCCTACTGTAATAAAATTATTACATCATTGTTTCTAATTTTTAGAAATTTGGAAATTATTTCAAAGCCGAAATATCAAACCTAGTTCATGAATCTCAGATAAAGCACTCATGGGGTCAGGTCGTATGAGCAGAGAGGAGGCTACTCTAAAATTTTGCATTTGACATTGAGGCTGAACTTTTGAAACTAGCTTACCTTCACCCCAAATTTAGTAAGTTTCTGTGTTTCATAAAAGAAGTCCCAAATCAGAAGCTCACCCTCAAAAGTGAGGTTTATTGTATTATGGAAAAAGAAATGTAGTACTCATAGCCTCACACATACAGAGGTATCTCAATTAGATTCATTATTTACTCTATTTACATCTTTTAGACTTTCGTCCTCATTTTTATTGCCTTATTCACAACATTTTGGCCATTGTATGCTCCAGCCTTCTTCAGGTGATATACGTCGGAATTTTGAACTGAACCCTTTTTTTTAATCCACACAGAAGTTCCAATGTATATCACTGAAGAAGGCCGGAGCATACAGTGGGTGAAATGTTATGAATATGGCAATAAATATGAGGACGAAAGTCCAAACAATGTAAACAGTGTAAATAATGTCAATACCTCATCTCAGAAATAGAGACAGATATTGAAGGTGAATATGACAATAAAGATGAGGACAACAGTCCAAACAATGTAAATTGTGTAAATAATTACAATACCTCATCTGAGAAATAGAGAAAGATATTGAAGGTGAATATGACAATAAAGATGAGGACAACAGTCCAAACAATGTAAATTGTGTAAATAATGTCAATACCTCATCTGAGAAATAGAGAAAGATATTGAAGGTGAATATGACAATAAAGATGAGGACAACAGTCCAAACAATGTAAATTGTGTAAATAATTACAATACCTCATCTGAGAAATAGAGAAAGATATTGAAGGTGAATATGACAATAAAGATGAGGACAACAGTCCAAACAATGTAAATTGTGTAAATAATTACAATACCTCATCTGAGAAATAGAGAAAGATATTGAAGGTGAATATGACAATAAAGATGAGGACAACAGTCCAAACAATGTAAATTGTGTAAATAATGTCAATACCTCATCTGAGAAATAGAGAAAGATATTGAAGGTGAATATGGCAATAAAGATGAGGACAACAGTCCAAACAATGTAAATTGTGTAAATAATGTCAATACCTCATCTGAGAAATAGAGAAAGATATTGAAGGTGAATATGACAATAAAGATGAGGACAACAGTCCAAACAATGTAAATAGTGTAAATAATTACAATACCTCATCTCAGAAATATAGATGGATGTAGATTCATTATAGTGAAAGTACAAATGAACATTGTATTGACTAGACTCACACTGTTCTACAAAAGACAACTTGTCACAACCCAATTTTATTTTCAATCTGGTAAATGGGGTAATACTGACATACAGGTTGCGATGGGTAAATTTTTGCCAATTTATATTTTTAATTTCATGCATGCACATTGTTTGTCTTTGATTTTGTCAACTGCACAGTATAGTAAGCTTAATGACACCATCTGTGAGTGAAAGAGCACCAATTCAATCTGCCAGAAATTTGGAAATGACATGCTGTACTGTTTGGTATTTGTGCTGAAAGTTCCAATGTGAACATTTCACAATGTTTGGGTGTCAGTCCGAGGACTGTGCAAAGGATTCAGAAAGAGTTGGATGATATATCTAGTCAAGATCATGGGGTTTGGAGTAATCACTAGGACCTCACTCAACATAGAAGCCTACATCAAGTGCCTTGAGTAGGGAGCACTGCTTTAGGTCAAGAGAGTGGCTGCTAGAAGAATGTCAAGCAACAGGACTCTGCACCATGTCACAGAAGCAGGAGAACCCAGTCACTATCAGACAATTGTAACTACATCACCCCTTATATCTGGCCACCTAACAGCTCAGACTACAACCTCCTTGATTATTATGTGTTGGGCACAGTTGAGCAAGAGACCAACAAAACTTCTTATAATACCAAAGATGAACTGAAGGCAAGGATTATGGCAGCATTCACCAACTTAACAAGGAGACCATCCAGAAGAGTTGCAGGAGATTCCAAAGATGTCTGGTGGTTGAAGACACTGGTGATTTTATTTAATAAATTTACTCTTTAGTATTTCAAGATATTTTGTGTCACACTATTTCAAACAAAAGTTTTGGAACAAAGTTTCCATCAATACTGGAAAGAGCAATCATTTTTCCTGAAAAACTTTTTAAAAGAAAGATTTTATAAATTTCAACCATTGGTAGCACTGGCTGCTTGGTCAATGAATGACAAATGTGTTTCCATTACTAATATTATCATTAGTATATAGATAATAGTTTAGACATTATTTGAATAATTTAAATGTCATGCATGGCATTCACATGAGAGCTTATCTCTGATGAGATTATTTAAGAACACAACTCTCACTTTCAGGTTAATATTTTCTTTTTGTAGCAATGTCAGATTAGCATAACCTATTCTGTGTTCAATTTCTTTATCTCCAATACTAAATTTACACTATTTACATTATTTGGACTATTGTCCTCATCTTTGTCGCCACATTTATTACAACATTTTGGCTCTTCAGTATTTGTCTATATTTCTGAGATGAGGTATTATGTACACTATTTACATTATTTGGACTATTGTCCTCATCTTTGTCACCATATTTATTACAACGTTTTGGCTGTTGTACACTCCGGCTTTCTTTAGGTGATTGGAATGTCGAACTGAACCCTTTATTTCGCCCACTAGGGTAGACTGTTCTCGTTCCACATGCCATGTTTAATGGATAACTGATATTCCCTCCACCTGAAAAATCCCGGAGTGTACAATGTCCGAAACATTGTAATAAATATGGCGACAAAGATGAGGACAATAGTCTGAATAATGTAAATAGTGTACATAATACCTCATCTCAGAAATATAGACAAATACTAAATTTGTTATAACTAATCCAAACACTGATGTATTTCAAGTGTTTAGAATTTTTCATGACATGTTTTGAATTTTTATTAAGTGAAGAAGCAATTACTATAAATTTATATTGAAAATATTTTTTTTAGTATACATACACTTCAAAATTAAACTTTTATGTCTACCTGCCTTGATGTTGAAGATCATGATTTGCCATCTTCTGTTGCTGATGTG